GCCCTTGACAAGGCCCAAACCTCCATGAGATGGGTTTTTCAGGGAAGGGTCTCTACCAGGGCCGGCAGATCCAGGAGCCGTCTGTCCAGCCGGTCCTTCTTTCAGTCCCATGGCTCAGGACGAGGCTCCTTTCAGCACCGCTCCAACTTCCAGGAGACAAATGCCCGCTCCCCATTCTTCCCATCACGCGGATGCCCATGGCGATCCAGAGGTTTCCGGGGTAACACCAGCTCCAGAAGACTCTATGGTGAGTTTACTCATACCTCATGTTTCTTCGCATGTTTATGTAGGGGGCAGACTCCAACATTTTTTCCCAGCCTGGGCACAGTTAACCTCCGACCCCTGGGTACTAAACACCATTCGAGGTTTCCACATAGACCTTGTGGGGAACCCTGACACTATGCCGCCTCCTCGACCGATCTGCTTCTCCATCCGGGATCGCAGGTCGATTGACGAAGAACTATCCTTGCTCCTCACCAAGAGAGCGATAGAACGGGCACCCCCGGACTCCACGGGAATCGTAAGCAATATTTTCCTAGTGGAAAAGAAGGGCGGCCAAATGCGCCCAGTCATAAACCTGCGCCCACTCAATGCTATGGTCAAGTACCGCCATTTCAAGATGGAGGGTATCCATCTGTTGAGAGATCTACTCCTTCAGGGGGACTGGTTGGTAAAATCCTAGACGATATCCTGCTCATGGCCCAAGATCACGATATACTTCTGGCACACCTGCGGCTGGCAATGAACCTGCTCTCCCGCCTGGGGTTCATTATCAACCAAGAAAAGTCGTGCCTGACTCCCGCCACTCACACGGAATTCTTGGGATTCCTAGTGGATCCGGAGATGGCCACTTTGAGCCTTTCAGGGTCCAAGACTTGTTCAATACGCAAGGAGCTCCACAGGGCTCTCTTATGACCGCAACTCACCTTGAGGCAACTGGCGCGCCTCATTGGCCTCCTAGCAGCCTCCATTCAGGCAGTGTTCCCAGGTCCGCTCCACTACCGTGCAATGCAACACTTAAAAATAGCTCACCTGAGGGCTGGCGCATCCTATGCAGACCTGGTATCTCTAGACAAAGAGACAAAGGACGAATTGCGATGGTGGATCCTCAACCTGTCTGCTTGGAACGGCAGGGCAATCTTCGGCTCCATGCCGGAGTTCACTCAGATGCGAGCCTCCATGGCTGGGGGGCTCATTGCGTGGGAGTGGCGACAGGGGGTCGCTGGTCGGAATCAGAATCCCGACTCCACTTTAACGCATTGGAACTCTTGGCAGGCTCCTTCGCGATCCAAAGCTTCGCGAGGGACAGAGCCTATACATGCATCCGCCTCCGCATGGACAATGTATCAGCGGTGAGGTATGTCAACCACTTGGGCAGTACTCAATCTGCGGTCCTGGCCAGATTGGCGAAAGACTTTTGGGACTTTTGCTTAGACCGGGACCTGGTGGTTCAAGCGGAATACCTGCCAGGACTACACAACGTCCAGGCGGACTGGGGCTCATGATATCTATCGCATGCCAGCGACTGGAAATTGGACACGAACGTGTTCTCCAGTATATCCTCTCTTTGGGGACCTTTTGCTATAGACCTATTCGCCTCCCAGCTCAACACCCAGCTCCCTCGATTCTTCAGCTGGAGGCCAGATCAGTGGACGCCTTCCTGCAGGTTTGGAGCGGAGACCTCCTATATGCCTTTCCCCCATTCTCCATGATCCCTCGCGCCCTTCTACACTCTTACAGATATCAG